CAAAGCAATCCCAGACCACATGGAGTGCATGGGATGTGGATTGGACAAGCTTGTTTTATGTGGAGCATTTAAACCATTTACATTTAATATTAATATTGAGATGTGAGGTACTGTTCCAGTCATCATGTTGTTACCTAGTGACTTTGTTCTCTTCATTTTGTTATTGTTTTATAAGCCTTGTGAATTTTATGCTTTCAGGGGTTTCCATTCTCATGTATATCAACCTTTTGTTTCAAGATTTAGAATTCCGTTTAGAATTTCTTGCATGGCTGGTCTAGTATTGACAAATTCCTTCAGCGTTTGTGTGTCTGAGAAAGACTGTTTGTCCTTCATTAATAAAAACTAGTTTTGCTCAATACAAAATTCTTGGTTGTCAATTATTCTTTTTATGGAGACTAAAGATAGGACCCCAATCCCTTCTGGCCTATAAGGTTTCTGCTGAGAACTCTGCTGTTCATCTTATATGGCTTCCATTGTAGGTTGCCTGATGTTTTTGTCTTACCATTGTTAGAATTCTATCTTTCAAATTGACTTTAGGTAGCCTAACGACTATATGCTTTGATGATATTCCTCGTGTAATAAGTCTACCAGGAGTTCTCTGCGTTTCTTGTATTGACATTTCTAAGTCTCTAGTAAGGCCAGAGAAGTTTTCCTCAATTATTCCCTCAAATAGGTTTTCCAAACTTTGTTTTTTCTTCTCCTTCAGAAATACCTATAATTCTTAGGTTTGGCCATTTTATATAATCCCATATTTCTTGGAGACCTTTTGTTCATTTCTCTTAATTCTTTGTCCTTTATTTTTGTATGACTACGTTAATTTGAAAGCCTTGACTTCAAGCTCTGAAATTCTTTCTTCTACTTGGTCTAGTCTATTGTTAAAACTTTCCATTGCATTTTGTAGTTCCCTAAATGTGTCTTTCTTTTCAAGAAGTTCTGATTGATTTTTCATTAAAATATCCATCTCTTCAGAAAATTTTCATCCATATCCAGAATAGTTTTAAAAACTTACGTTGGTTTGCATCTCTCTCTCATAGTTCCTTGAGTAACTTAATAATCAACCTTTTGAATTCTTTGCCTGGTATTTTGAAGATCTCATCTTGATTTGGATCCACTGCTGGAAAGTTACTGTGATTTTCTAGGGGTGTTATAGAACCCTATTTTTTCATATTCCCAGAATTATTTTTCAGGTTCCTTCTCAACTGGGTAAACTATTTCTACTAATTATTTTTGTATTTTATTTTTTATTCATTGGGTTTTATTTCCCCCATGACGATGTGAATTCACTGTCATCTAGCTTCAGCTCTGGGGGCTTTCAGTAGCAAAGACTGTATGAATTCCTTGGTTACAGAGAACCTTTGTGCAAGATGCTGTCTTTCTCAGATGATGGTTATAGTAGCAATGTGCTGGGTGTATGAGCAGATTCACTGGCTCCTGTGGGGCCTGAATAGCGGAGGTCTCATGAAGCTTATTTCAGTCCCCAATGGTGTGCATTTTTAAAAAGTTTTCTCCAATATTTTATTCACTGGGTTGAACAGTTCAGGCTTCAGGCTAGTAGGACATGCCCATGGGTAAAACTGGCTGTAGCTAAAGCAGGTGATAAATGCAATATCCCAACGGTGGGCAATATCTCAATGGTAGGCAGAGGTCGCACTCTTGACAGAGGTGGCTGGGGAAGTGCTCAGTGAAATCCACTGATGTCTTTCGGGGGAAAGAAGGAAGGCACCACAGCACTCCTTCCAGGCCAGCAGGAAAGCGATCCACCTCCCAGTAACACTCCTAAACCAGTGTTCTGGCTATTGAGATCAGACAGGCACCTCATTTCATCTGCAGGAATGCTGATGTTCCATGTAGAGAGGGGTTGTGACTCTACCTCTCACACAAGCCTGAATGTGTAGAGTGCTCCTCCTGAGGATAGAGTAACCCTGAAGTGTTCCAGGAAGGCTGTCCACAGATGCACCCACGCCGAGCTCCTGTGGGAGAAGCCCCAGTTGTTTCTGCAGTGGTATAACTGCAGGAGGTGAGGCAGGAGGATCACTTGAACCCAGGGGTTTAAAGTTACGGTAAGCTATGACAACACCACTGAACTCCAGCCTAAGTGACAGAGTAGGACCCTATCTCTAAAAAAATAAAAATAGGACAGACATGGTGTTCAGAGCTGTAATCCTAGCACCTTGGGAGGCCCAGGCAGGCAGATTGCCTGAGCTCAGGAGTTCAAGACCAGCCTGGGCAACACGATGAAACCCTGTCTCTACTAAAGTACAAAAAATAGCCAGGAATGGTGGCAGGCGCCTGTAGTCCCAGCTACTAGGGAGGGTGAGGCACGAGAATTGCTTGAACCCAGGAGGCAGAGGTTGCAGTAAGTCGAGAACATGCCACTGCACTCCAGCCTGGGTGACACAGACTCCATCTCCAAATAAATAAATAAATAAATATATAAATAAATATTAGACCCGGCATGGTAGCTCATACCTGTAATCCCAGGCACTTTGGAAGGACAAAGCAGGAGGATCGCTTGAGCCTAGGAATTCATGACCAGCCTGGGCAACATAGCGAGACTCCATCTTTGTTATTAAAAAAAAAAGAGAGAGAGAGAGAGAAAGTAAAAGAAAGAAAAATTAAAATTAAATGTTTTAGTGATATTTTAAAATGTATGAAATATAATATGAAATGAAAAACTAAGACTCAAAAACAAATTTCCATATTCTATGTACTCAAAAGATATTGTTCTTATCATTATCAAAATTACATTTAGTTAATTGCATAGTTATTTGTTGAAGCTATCTACCTTGCCAAAATATAAGCCAAATAAGGTTAGGAAATTCTTTTATGTATCACTTTATCCCTACAGTGCTTGGAACAGGGATAAACATATAGTAAATAAATATTTGCTGAATTATTCTAATAAGAATTTGGAATATATTAAATCAAACACAGCACTTTGCATAATGAATTGTACAAAATTATCTTAACACTGTTTTTAAGAAAAGCACATTTGTATGTGTGTATGGGTATGGAAGAGTATAGGCAATCTTTGCGTTCATAGCGACAAGATAGTTCAGACAAGTTCTCCAAGGACAGTTTTACCAAAAAAAAAAAAAGTATACATATATATACATACATATGTGTCATATGTGTATATTATGTGTATACATGTGTGTGCATATATACTTGTGTGTGCGTGTATATATATATGCTTTAATGCATCACAGAGCTAAAGAAATAGAGACAAATTAGTGGTCCAGAGTATTGAAGGGCTGAAGGAAGCCAAGAAAAGCGAACCCAACATCTAAGCATGTTTTTTCCACTGACTGTTATGCAGATTGTGGAAATGCAGTTGAGATGCTAAGAGGCTGTATGGCATTTCTTACAGTCTCTTGGAAACAGAGAAACAGAAATTGTAGTCTAGAGTTCAACAAGGGCCACCGTGAATATCCCTATGATTTGGCTAAGGACTTTGAAAGCCTTAAACATCATAAACAAGCCTTCTCACAGCATTAAATTATCTCAAATACTAAAATTATCTTAATTGAAAAAAGCTGTATATATTTATCATACATATTCTGAAATATGCACACATTGTGCAATAGCGCAATCAAGCTATTATTATTATATTATTAATGCATTTAATTAATAAATGCATTACTAGCCTGGGCAACATAGGGAGACATGGTCTCTACTAAAAATAAAAATAATTAACTGGGCGTGGTGGCAGGTGCCTGTGGTCCTAGCTCCTCAGGAGGCTGAGGTGGGAGTATTGCATGAGTTTGGGAGGTCAAGGTTGCAGTACCAATCGTACCATTGCATTTCAGATTGGGTGACAGGGCAAGACCCTGTCCCAAAATAAACAAACAAAATACATTATACTTCATACATTTATTCAAACCCTAAAATTAAAGTGATTTCTGATAGCTCCTGCCCCCAGCAGCCCAGACAAAAAGTAAAAATTATCTGAAGGAAGATAACATCTTAGGCTCCAGATTATTTGTACAAACAATTTTGCACATACAATATCCAATACATCATGAGAAAGAGCCAGGCACTCAAGCAAGTAAGACTACATGAACACAAAATAGCAAAGAGAATAGGCAGAATCAAAATGACCTCAGATAGAAGGCTAAAGATATAGGGAGAAATGTTAAATGAAGAGCATGGCAACAAGGCAAATTTAATTAAACATCTATATGAAAACATAGATAAAAGTGATTGCCATGTTAGAAATGTATCTAAAATTGAAATACATGAAACCAATACATAAATAGAGAGATAAATGAAGTTAAAGTGTTCTAAGGGTTCTATTAGGATGTCTGGGAAAAGAAAAAGTATATTAACATTATTTCATTTTTATTTTTCAGTCTATGTACCTTTTTTAACGTTTATTTTTAGAACTTTTTAAATTAAGGTATAACTTATATACAATTAAATTGCCATTTTAATGTACAATTTCTACAAGTTTGACAAACTCAGTAATGAAATCAACCACTAGAATCAAAATATAGAACAGTTCCATCAGCCCATAGAAGTCTCCTGTGTCCTTTCAATGTCAAACCCTCCTCCAATCCTTGACAACTACTAATCTGTATTCTGTCCCTACAGTTTTATTTTTTCTAGGATGTCATATAAATGAAGCCTTTTGAATGTGACTTCTTGAAATTAGCATGGTGCATTTCAGATTCATCAACGTTATAGTTTGTTCATTTTTATGGCTGAGTACTACTCCATTGAATGGACGTATCTCAATATTCATTCTCCAACTGAGGGGGGTCTGCATTGTTTCAAGTTCAGGATAATTATGAATAAAGCTATTATAAACATTTGCATACAGGTCCACACATAAGTTTTTAATGCACTCTACACTCTGGTAAATACCTAGGAATCAAATTGTTGGGCAGCATTAGATTTAATAAGTTAAGGATAAATGTAAAACAGCAGGTCTTTATTTGGTATAAGAAACAAAACAGAGAGAATGAAAGTATCTCAGACTGGCCTGAATTATCACATACCTTCTTTGCGGTCTCAGTGATGTTCCTGTCACTCATTATTTTATTGCTTCCTACTCTAATAAGATTATCAAAAATATTGCATATCATATTTGCCTACTGAATTTGTATTTTCATCAATTCATCAAATGAGAAAGAAGAAAAAAGTAATAGGATTTCTAATAAAAATTGTGACAAATTGAGAAATGTAATGAACCTTTCAATTCTTTGGAAAAGTAGACATTACCTTCCCCTGACTATTCACTGAAGTAGAATGGACTTAAAATGAAATCTTAAATTGTATGCTGAAAGCATATAAATGCCATATTTTCATCAGAAAATTAAGCCCACTATGAGGACAGTTGTTTATGAATTCCTACTCCTATTTCTATAAAATGCCTATGGTTATTAACTAATCAATATGAATGGAATACTGAAAAATGTATAACATATAACCATAGAAATACTAAAACTGTTAAATATAAGCTTATTGATATAGGATAATTTATATAAAAAAATTTTTCAAGGCACTGAAATGAGAAAAAGTTCACAGCACTTGTCTTTTTCTTTAAATCTTTCTGGAGTTGTTGCTGTATTTCAGACATATTCTCCAAAACATCTGATCATTTCCCAATAAGGCAATATACTGAGAAAGGAAGATTCTACATTAGAATGCAGGCAAGTGTCACTAAAATATCATTTTAAAGTTGTTTTACACTGCAGCATCACTAAAAAGTAATAAAATAAAGTTTGAGATAATCAGGATTAATGTTTTTTATTTTGGTTCTTGCTGATACCTGCTGGTTCAATTTTATCTTCTTCTTTACTATACATTGATATGTTAAGAGTTCTAAATACAAAGGCTTGTAGCACATAAAACAGAATCTTTAATCAAGGGACCACTGACCCCAAAACGAAATGAGCACATATCAACCAATCACTTCCCGTATCCACTAATTTTCATTGAAATCAGTGTTATGGCTATTACTGTAACTCACTCCCTAATGAAGGTACTTAATTCGAAGTCTCTGTTACCTAATATTTTGATTCTGCCTCATTACTTAATTCTGAGACTTAATTCTGAAACTAAAGTTAGTTTTTTTTTTAACTTAAACTGCAAAAGCCAGTGGGCCATATTAATAGAACTCAAAAACACAAAAACGTGGATGTCTTTAAAAATATTACACAAGGTACTACTTTTGTTTGTTTAAGCAAATCCCAAATCCTATACTGATGAAATAAGACAACAGATAACATATTATCCTTACTAAATCCTTAAAATTTTACTTTCTTCTTTCCCTTCTCTTTCCCCTCTCTTTCCCCCTAAACCCACTCTAACACAATGGAAGGGAAGTGGTACTTTCCTCTTTCTAAAAACTTCTGTTTCATATTCCTAACATTAAAAAATATATACATTTTAAAAACTGACTTTAAAGGGAAAAATGCTATAGTAAGCTGCCTTTTTACTTATATTTTTCCTGGTTCTTACTCTCTACAACTTTGCAAATCTAATAAGAAATAGACTGCATATACCATTATTAAACAGGCAAAAGGATTAGCTCAAATCCGAACCTGTACTTTAGGATGTGTATGAGAAAGCAAAAAAAAAAAAAAAAAAAAAAGTGTGCAGTGTATGTCATGAGTACATACTTTTCATTTATTAATTCATTTATTAATTACACATTAAATCTGTTTCTCCCAGAGCAAATACAGTTATTTAAACCTAATTATTTTGGGCCAGGTAATCCTGAGTGCATACTATGAACAAGTAGTTCACACCCGTGCTTGGCTATCAGAATCACCCGTGGAGCTTTTTTTATTTTAAATATAGCTGCTTGGGCCACCCAACACCTCCACCCCTGATTATGACTAGATAAGTCTGATAGAACCTACATTTCTGTATTTCAAAATAAATAAAAAGGTACAGAGATGATTATCATGCACAGTTAGGTTTGAGACTGACACAGTATTTTCATTTAATAGGAGTTCACTCTATTTTCAGTTTAGTTCTTTGCATCCAGATGTATCACTGAAAGTGATGTGCACTTGGCAATGCCTGCCAAAACTGCCACTGTTTTTGGCCCCACTAATAAAGCTGTTTTAGACTCAGGCAAAGAACATGAAAGATGCAGCTCATGCTCAGTGCCTTTCTGAGTCTAAACTGGATCCAAAAAAAAAGCAATGGGGCTTTTATTCAAAGACAATGAATGATGACTTAGTGGAAGTAGGAGAAGAAGGAAGGGAGGAAGGGGAGCAGCACCAGTAGCAGGGGCCTGGACTATTACTGGGGCATTTTAGTTGTTGTTAATATTGTTGTTATTATATGTTACATTTTAAAAGAACAAGGAAAACTGGGAAGGAGCACAAACATCCCTCCCAGGCACACGTGGATGTCTCTTGAATATCTCCCCATTCCTTTTTTAAAACAGATCTCAAATCACAGTAGTTACAAATCTATAATGAAATGTGTTTTATTCCTCAAATTGCAATGTTTGGAATAGTTATTTCAGCCAATATCTGTAAATGAAATACCTGAGTTTCATTTTCAAAATAACAAACACAGATGTAACCTATTGAACTTTAAAAACAAAAAGAAATCAAGCATCTCAATATATGCCAGTTTAGGAGCTATGACAAGATTACAGCACAGCAAAAAATAAGTGTTATGACTTGCTCTCATATTTATTTTTTATTTTTGTATTATTCTTTTGTATCAGAGTCTTACTCTGTCGCATGGGCTGGAGTGCAGTGGTGCAATCATGGCTCACTGCAGCCTCTAACTCCTGGGCTCAAGAGATCCTCCCGCTCCAGCCTCCCGGGTAGCTGGGATCACAGGCACATGCCACATGCTCAGTTAATTTTTAAGAATTTTTTTTGTAAAGGCAGGATCTCACTATGTTGCCAAGGCTAGTCTCAAACTCCTGGCCTCAAGTCATCCTCCCACATCAGGCTCCCAAAGTGCTGGGATATGGTCATGAGCCACTGCAACTGGACCCTCTCATCTCTAAAGTTTTCCATTGTATCCTCAAAATACAAAGATTACTACTTTCCCGAAAAGGATCTATGAAAAAATATTTTACAAAAGGAAACAGGAAGGAAGGAAACCAAAAAAACCCAAATGAATTCAACCTGTGTCACTTTCTAGGCCACAGGTCAAACCAATGCCCCTTTTTCTGAGCTCTCATTATTAGCAGCCCCTGCTTTAGATGTGGGGGTGAGGTTCATTCTGTTAGTTTTACTATTTCTGTCATGACTGCTCCTGTTTTTACTGATTAGGAACTGTTTTCAAACACATGATGTTACTTCTCACAGTCCTCACTGGATGAAAAGGGGCTTTATTCTCCAAAATTCAATAAGATTGTCTGAGTCACAACAGAACCAGCTTCCCTTCTCTGGAATAGATACCAATGCCCCATAGACAGAATTCTCTACTTCTCCTAGACATTAAAGTATCAGAGTTCTTGTGTGTTTGTCTTAATGTATTGCTTCTCAAACTTTTCCATGAGCAATGAAGATAAAGTCTATTCCTGTACCTGGAGGTGCAACTAGAAGCAAGTCCATGTAAGTAAGAAATTCATTCAAAATCTACTTTTTCTTTTAAAGATGAAGAGTTGTTTTTATGCTCCTCTTCATTATACAAAAGATTTTTCTTTAAAAAATCTTTAGTGGAACTGATGCTCCAAGTAGATAGTTTCAGCACCAGGTTTGAGAAATGCAGCCCTAAGCAAACATGAGATGTAACTAATGTGACACTCTACCTAAAGACTTGTGACATATCATCTATTTCACCCCCTTCAATTTTATATAAATACATCCCAATCACAAAGGTTAACAGACTTTAGAAATTACTGGCAGTGAGGAAGGATGGTTACAAACGCCATGTGAGAACTCATGAAAACGTCATAGTATTTTATTTTACTCCAGAAGCATTTGTAATTCAAATACGTCAATTCTAGGCCAAAAAGAAAAGAAGTGGTAGAAAGGTGTTTTCCCAATGTATTATTGTTTCCATTTTTTTCTCCAGCCTTCCCATCCCTGACCCTAGAGTCATTTGGGATAAGGGAGAGTTACAGGGTTTGGCTGTGTCCCCACCCAAATCTCATCTTGAATTATAGTTCCCGAAATTCCCATGTGTTGTGCGAGGGACCCAGTGGGAAATAACTGAACCATGGGGGTGGACTCCCCCATGTTGCTCTCATGGTAGTGAGTAAGTCTCACGAAATCTGATGGTTTTATAAAGGGTTTCCCTTTTCCCTTGGCTCTCCTTCTCCTATCTGCTGCTACGTAAAACATGCCTTTCACCTTCCACCACAATTGTGAGGACTCCCTAGCCACATGAAACTGTGATTCCATTAGACCTCTTTTTCAGAACAGACTAATACAGAGAGATTCTGGGAAAAGCAGCACCAGCATAGCCACTGTGATTTCTGGTAACACTCCCTAGCGAACTGGAAGGGAGAACATGGAAGCAGAATACCACCTGCCTGAGAGGCTGTGCATACAGCATTACAGAGGTGCTACAATCATTTGCTCCCATCCAAAAATAACACTTCCAACAGTAATGAGTTTCCACCCAGGATTTTGGGCAAGTTACTCAATGACTGACAGGGAATTGCTAAAGTGAGGAAAGCACCAAACCAGCCCTCTGCAGTCCTCCTTGTGACGAAAGGCTGGGTCACATTTTTTTTTTTTTAATATTCCTGACAACACCTACAATAGCACTGAAACATTAATATGATGATTGATGCCTGTGAACATTTAAATCCTAAGCCAGTGTAGCTAATGTGGATCTCTAGTGCTGCTGAGGCTACGTCTGAGTTATTTCTGGTTTGGAAATAGACATGGCTGAAGTACCTCTGACTTTTTAGGTAAAGCCAAAAACAGTCAGCAGACTAGATGTCCTGAGATGAATGATTGTAATAAACTGTCCTAAGACATGAAACTTTAGCTTAGTGCTAAATCCAAACTACAGTGCTCTTTGTGATTGCCACATAGTTTAAGAGCCTTTGCTGAACAAAGGGTTCCCCAATTCTCAAACCAATCTCGATATATGCTATATTTTTAAATAAACTTTGACTGTGACCTTCCAAGTGTTTCTTGTTTATGGTCACTATGTCGGAAAGACATGCCTCCTCCTCTGTACTTACAAATCTCTGGTACAAAAACTCCAAGTGTGTCTTGGTGTCACCTGGATTTTCCTAAAAGACTATCAACAGGGTGAGGTTCCAGAAAGAGAAGAAAATGGGAGCAGAAAAGTATAAAAATTACATAAGGACAAAAGGAAAGAACAGAGAGAAGATATATTTGTTAAGCTACAGCCAATTCCTTAGAATATTAACGATGGATTCTATAAAAAGAACTGAATCACTTTAGTTTGCTATCTAAAGCAGGAATCAGCAATCTTTCGGTAAAGGGTCAGACAGTAAGTATTTTAAGCTTCACAGGCATCAAATGCTCTCTGTTCCAACTGTTCAATTCTAATGGCAAAGTAGCCATAAAAATATATAAGGGGACATAAGTGACTATGTGCCAATAATACTTGATTTACAAAAACAGGCACAGTACATAACATTTTATATAATAAATAACCACTATATACTCCTGGCTTTTCAAATGAATAA